AGCGCATTTCACTTAGCTTATTGTCCTTATTGTTTGAGTCACCTGTGCTAACGACCATATTCAGATGGCAGTTAGCAGCTCTGTCTTATACACTAGGCAGTTGCTCGTCTTGAGGCGAATGGTAGCAATTCATTCGTTTAAAGTGTTCTATTTAATTATTAACAGCATAAAGCAACCCTTGTTTTCCACGCTAAAAGTACTGTGCTTATGGCTCATAGACAGATCTTCTGGAGCGAATTTTGGAAAGAGTGAATCAGCGATCTCTCCAAAACTACGATGAACGGAACACTTAAACTAAACTTGTCTGGTCTCTAGACATTTTCCCACCTGACGTGGGCTATAAATAGGATTGCTCATCTCCACGGTCAACCACGGCGGTATAAAAACACACACACCATGCTCAGTGCACTCCCACCATGGCTCTACGCTACTGCACGCCACTCACCTACACACTGATGATGTCACCTCTATTGGTGAAGAAACGTTTGCAATAAACTTGCCCAGCTCAGCGAACAGTTTAACCACCATCTGAACAGTCTGAGCTACCAGTCTTCAATTTTATAGTCAACAGTATATTTTGATGCCTTATTGAAATGAGATTGTCAGCCGTCAAGCACCTTGTTTTTTGCTTGTACTTGCTTTTGCTTTAATTTTGTCCATTGATTTAACCAGGCTATCATCGATAGCGTCATCTCCACCTCTCAATGACCCTAGAGGTAGACCTTTGTTTCCCCTCGTCTTGTTTCGTTTCAGTACTACACAAGAGTAAGAGATTTCCTGGCAGACTGGAACTGCTCCACCATGGTCCCAGTTTTCAAAGGACCTTCACGTTCCGATTACTGTAATTACAGAGGGATCAGTCTTCTAATAATTGTAAGTTGCTTGCCTCTGTCGTGCTCCATACACTGAATCGCGTAGTGCAAGCCGGATTTCGCCTGAATCGATGTGGTATTGATCACATCTTTATCTTGCTCCAATTGTTAGAGCTCCGTGTTTCTCGATATCAAAGGTGCTTTCGATTCGGTTGCTCGATGTGCACTTTGAGACTGTGCTCAGCAAAGCTGTGCCATGGAAATACGTAAACCTTACCAGAGTGTTATATGCGCATAGTTCTGGAAGAATGAGGGCTTATGGCAAACTATCTCCAACGGTGTGAGACAAGGTTGCCCGCTGTCACCTTTCCTCTTTAACTTCTCCATCGACGAGGTCATGAAACTGGCATTCGCAGGATACGACTAAAAGGTGTGGGGCTACTTCCTGGTGAGCGAGTTCTTGAATTGGAGTGTGCCGACGACATTGCGCCCATCTGTGACAGCTGTCGAACGTACCAAGCAGCACTGAACAGATTAGCACTGGCTGTCAATTGCTTTGGCTATGCTTTGCTCCCTCGAACTGCAATGTGCTTCTCCAAGATTTGCAGGTACCCACCCGTGTGCTGCCCTTTGGTATTGATCATCTAGGATTCATCCATAAATTCAAGTATCTTGACAGCTATATTAGAGCCCGTGTGATCGAAGATGTGATCACCAGCCGTATAGCAAAAGCTCTAGGCGCTGTTGCCAATCTCCGCCAGCTGCGGCGCCGGCGTGACATCACTCTCACCATGAAGGACAGAGTTTACAGTGCAGCCGTGCGTTCAGCCCTCTTGTACGGTTGAGAAACCTGGCCTATCAAATCGACCATCGCTGTCATTTCAGCTTAGTTCATGTCTGGTTGGAACACCGCGTGAACAACGAGCATTCAACGCCGTGATATCACACGCTATTCTCCGATAGCTGGGCCACGTGTTGCGCATACCAGCACACCGACTCGCGTAGTGCGCTGTTTGCGCGACCGGAGTCTGGATGGAAGGAAATGAGACCAAGCGATTGTCAATTTGGCGTCCGTTTGTTTCTCCCGACTACCAGGCTGGGGTTCGAAAGACGATGAACACGTTTGGTTGGACACATTAGTTGACATGGCGCAGAGCCGACCTCACTGGCCTTTGTTTTCTCAATTTCTTTGTCCCTCTCCTTCCTGCTTAGCTAACCCCTCCAACAGCGATCTCACTCTGTGCAAATACTTACGCTTAGCATTATATTATTTGCTTTTTTAATTCTTTTTGTTCTGTAATGTTTAGTATCTCGTTTTCTCATATGTCTTATGTATCACGGCGCAGTTAGCTGAAGTCTGTTTCTCGTCTTCGGCTAATGTGTAATGCTGACGCTGATGATTTAGTATCACACATCCGTCTCAGACCTCATTGTTTGTGGGCGTTGTGAATTCTTTCTCACAGGTCAGTTTACTTGACTTAATTAATGATTCTGACAGAGTCCGTTCTCTTAACTGTTTTTCAACGCGTCTGGCCAAGTCTTAAAATTAATAAAAGCTTAGTGTTCGTCAACCATTTTTAACTGTACATTCCTCTTAAACCCTACAGTGGACGGGTTAATAGGGTGCTCAGTTTGTACAAGCGCATTGGGCCCCTGTTTGACAAAGGAACAAACAAAAGGCGTATGAACTGAGCAATCAGTCACCGGCTCCCAATGGGCGCGATTCCCTGAATTCGCTCCGCTGCCTTGCGGGCAGGCTATTCAGCCAAAGGCTCGGGGTGGTGTCCCCTAAGTCAACACCCTACTTCGGCTTGGGCAACCGGGTAGTATCTCGCCCTCTGAGGAAACCATGGACATTGTTGTGTTGTGTTTTATTTTACTGTTTCTGTACCTTCGTTTGAATCCCATGGTTTCTGATGGCATTATGTCTGTTAACAGACTTTTGCATATATATATATATATATATATATATATATATATACAAGCGCTATAAGCTCTTTTTGGGATGGTTGCTATTGTTTACATCTTCGGTGTAGCAAATTCCCTTAAATGATCCTATTCTGGATGGCAGTCTTCCCCGACATTTTGCTGTCAAGCGACGAATACTAGTCGCGCCCAGGTCACCCGCACCCACGCATATTCTAGTCTGTTAGGAGAATTTCTATTTGGTATTCACGTTTTGCGATCTTAGTTCCCTTTTTTCATTCTGCCTATCCTCTACCCCTTGACAGTTGTTTAAACGCTCCATTTCTTTGCTCCGCTTAGCAACTGCACGTCGTTGGAATGGACGCTCACCTTACGGGTATTTTTCAGCGGCATCATTTCCAATAACATATTTGACTAGTTTTTATTCCCACAAATTTTTATTTGATTATCTTAAGGAAATGTTCAGTCGACATACATATTTTTAGTAGTTCTTGATTCCCAGATTTGCATTTCTTCCTACCATCTGTTTCGTGATCCTTGTTTAAATACTCCATTTCATTATTCTGATTGGCCTTCACTCGTCATTGTGAATAGATGTTTACTTTACGGTTTGGGTCCCATAATGCCATTTCCAATCATCATCATCATCAACTGCAGTACATCAGCCATTTGAACTGATGCTTCGCTGCTATACAACCATGAGGACCTATGAAATAAAGAATAAGAAGAGGGAGAGAAGGGGGACTTACCTGAAAATCTTAATGCCCTAAGGAAACATTCAGGGTCAAGGCGCCTACACCTTGTGTAGACAACATTTCGTCACAAACAGCTGGCTATCGTGCAAAGATAAGGCGGCATCGGCGAGACAGCTTCGTTGCGGCTTTCACTGCCACGCGTCATAATCAGCCATTATCCCGCAGATAACTCAGCACCAAACACACTTTAAACAGACCATCCGATTAGGAGACGGCAGCAAACGCGCCACTGGTGTCGGTTGCGAGCCATGTCCTGTAAAGTCTCGAGCCAAGCACAAGGTGAGTCACGTGGACTCCAACCCGGAAGGCGAGACGGACCAACGGCACCTAGTTTGGTCGTCAGTGACTTCATTTCCCGCTGCCAAGTCAACTTCTGTCCACCTCGAGCCTTGCGCCATCGTACACCTGGTAGACTGAACAAGGCCCTCCTGGGTAAGCGGTGACCAGACATGCGTAGCACGTGCCCGAGCCAACGCAACTTATTCAGTGCTATCTGTTGTTCTAGGGAGCTAGCATGTTCATCACCACCTAGTACTCGCCTACGCACATCATCGTTGCGGACACGCTGGTGCCATCCGACACCAGCAATGCTTCGCAGACAACGACGATCAAAGACTTGACGGCGCCTCAGATCTTCAGACCGAAGGGGCGAAGTCTCACTACCATAGAGCAGAACGGCCCTCACTGTGGCCTTGTTTACACGGCCTTTCAGACGGAGGGAAACTCCCTTCTGTCGCCAAAGATGACGCAGGTTCAAGAAGGCAGCTCTGGCCTTTGCAATGCGTGAGCTGAAGTCAGTTTCTATGCGCCCATCATTGCTGATGCAGCTGCCAAGATAAGTGAATTGATCAACCACCTCGAGTTCCTCGTTAGCAAGCGTCAAGGGGTCATCAAGTGGCTGGTGGTCCTGCAGCAACACTTTGCACTTTGAAGGTGCGAAGTGCATGCCAAATAATGGGACCACTCTGGATAGGCTATTTCCAAGGATGTATCTGATTCGTTCTTCATTCCACGGCTGCTCATTCGCTTGTTGCATTTAGCGTTTTCCCTCTGTTTGGTTGGCTCGAATGTATTTTAGTAGTTTCCCTTCAAAACCTTTTCAAAACTATATAAGCCCGTGTGATTTAATGCATACCAGTTTTCCAGACTCTTGCGGTCATGGGGTGAAAGCGTCGAACGTGACGCAACAGCACCGGTGACCCTTCGGCCACCGTCCGATGCACTGGGCAGGAGATAGCTGACTTTGCTGTACCAACCTTGCCCATGTCTCTGCCAAGTGCATGTGAGCACCTCGGAATGATTATGTTCGCATGTAATCTTTGACGACTGAAATTAGCGTACTTTATTCAACCCATGTTCGTCTTATTATTTGTACTAATGCAGCATTCTTTTGCTTATGGTTTAAGTTAATTTCCCATGTTCATATACTCCACCTTGTTTCTCATGTTTGCATCTAAATGTTCACTTTAGGTTTTCTGACATTCTCACCATCAGCTCTCTTTTGCAGCTCATAGACGATTTATTTCTAAGGTTCTTAATGCTTCCTCGTCAACTGCATCTTCAACACCACCGACCAAGGTTTGTCTCCATGCTTTTTATCCCGAGAACTGTCGCTTAAACAGACTACATATGGCCCGTTGGCCGACGAGGACCGAATCTTCACCAACTTGTACGGTCGCCACGATTGGCGTCTTCAAGGTGCCATGAAACGAGTATGCCTGTTTGCATTCTATCTAGCCTTTCATCTTAGGGCCATTGGTACAAAACTAAGGAAATTTTGTTAAAAGGCTCTGATTGGATTATCGAGGAAGTGAAAAAATCCGGTTTACGTGGTCGTGGCGGAGCTGGTTTTCCTTCGGGTATGAAATGGAGCTTTATGAACAAGCCCAGTGACGGCAGGTATGGTATCGGCTTTTTTATATTAAAATCGATGGCGTATCTCACTGGTTGTACCTACAAGTTATTTGTAACCCCTGACTTTTTAAGGTGATATGCGGAACGCCATCTGGTCTTATGATCTCTACCTGGATTAATGCAGTATCAGTATCTTTTCTGATGTTTTTCTTTTTTTTCGCAGGCCGAAATACTTGGTTGTCAACGCCGATGAGGGTGAACCGGGGACTTGTAAAGATCGCGAAATAATGCGACATGACCCGCACTCTCTGATTGAGGGTTGCTTAATTGCCGGTCGAGCTATGGGCGCACATGCAGCATACATCTACATCCGTGGCGAGTTCTTCAATGAAGCTTCAAACATGCAAATGGCTCTTCGCGAGGTCAGCTCACTGACTGATGCAATTAGCTCTGCGCCATGTGAAATTGAGTCCAGTAATTTTTGATGCTTTCATCGTAATCATTGCGGCGGTCTTTTCAATCTCACCCAAGTATACATCTGTCCCATGATTATAGAGATTTTGATGTAGTTTCTCACCAGTTCCGATCCATGTATCCGACAAGCCCGCCTAACTGTTTCCGTGATAACCTCTCCCACTATTTCGGCCTTCTATTCTTCATCAAAATACAACAATTACAAGCCTATCGGGTTGATGCCGAAATGGGTGCCCCATGCTGTCTACCAAAGTTTGTGGCTGTCTTTGTATGCACTGATCGGTTCTATCTCGTTTATCAACTATGTTTCATGCACAGAAATGCGATTACTTCAGCACCACTGACTTCCTTTACTCCACCTACCTAGAAAAAAATGACAACAATAGAGAAGTAGGGGGTGAATGACATGAAGACCATCGGGAAAGAGTTGAAGAGGCCTTTGGGTCGTCGGGTGGGGGCTCATTTAATGGCTATTGTGATTGCTCCTAAGGCCTTCACTTAGGAAACTGACGTACCTCAATTCCATGTTTCCTGTTCTCACATGATTACTTCTGAATTCCACTTACCTGAGTACATTTGGCAAACAACACGTGTAGTTTAAGTGTTTCACCGGCAATATCACGTCCAGTGCAATGTAAGGGGGTCTTGTCGTGCACAAATTGACCATCTCGGTACCGTTACCGGATATGAGAAGTGTTTTGTCGGCATTGGCAATCAAGTCCCATACATCTTCCAGTGTCTCAAAGGCTTTACTTCCATCCCATACCATGACACCAACAGAACTGCCTTGTGGTGCGCCTTCTTTTTGACCATTAGGTTATATCTCACTGCTTACAAGATAATCAGGGCATCGATGACCGACAGGCTGTCCTTTGGTTCTCAAAGAGATTTTTGTGGTTATTCCCCCACACTACATCACTAACTGCCCCCTGTACGGGCTGCTTAACCGCCGAGACTCATAGTTCGGCGTCGTATAACCCTAGTGACAAACACAAGCGCTGAATACTGATGATGCAACTTCAGTTGGACTGAGCCCATTTCCTACGTATAGATGTTGTGCTACGTATCTGGATCGAGGAATACAGTCCAGTTGACAAGAATATTTGGGAATGTAACATCAACCTCTTACACGGGGTAAATCGCTCCACCAAACGGCATGGGATAAACATACATCAGATCGTCAAAAATTGTATTCATAAATTCATTGTCTCACCTTACATCTTGCGTTAACTAGTAGGTACACTATCCGTGCATTGTGACCTGACTGTCTCCTTGGAACAGTTTCTCGTTATAACAAACAATATTGTTTTTATCCATCGCGAGTCAGTTCCGTGCAACTGAGTCAACTGCGACCACCACTCGCCATCGTGTGATGATACTGATCGAATACATAAATTGGCTTAGTGCGCACTACCTTTCCGTGCAGATGCCTCAGAATCAGTCGTGTGATAGAACACCGTCTCCATGTCATATTTTCTCCAGTTGATCCCCCTCTTCTAACCATTGGCCTTTCTACTCGGCGACCCAAAGATTTCACACTCTTCCGGTTTTCCCTCGGCTCTTCTCCGCCGTTATAATTCTTTATTTATGCTCTCCCAGTGTGACGAGTAAGAGTTGTGTGCAACACACCTCGGCGCTTCGATCACACTTTCGCGACCGGATATCGGGTTGGCCTTCTCTATTTTCGGTTATGGTCCTTGAAGTTTGTTCTCTGTGGACAACTTTTACTTCCTATCCTCCGGATGTGATCTTAGTAACGTTTCTGCTCATTGCACTCTTTCCAAATTGCCGTTTGTGTGGTTTGGCTAATTTCAGGCCATCAACATCATCAGCATTAACACTCACTTGATTTGAAATTATGATTCATAAAGGCATGCTGACATAAGCGATGAGAAATATTATGAAGAAGGAGAGAATTAGTGTAAAACCTAAGTGGCCCAAGCAAACGTCCAGGGTTCAAGCACCTAACAAAAAACATCAGGAGTACGCCGGTACTCAGTACCGACGCTTCGCTGCAGCGCAACCACCAACGGTCGAACGTGCCCTAAGGATACTGCGAGGGTCGCCCTGACCCTGCGCAAACTCGAACCCGCGCCATCAGATTACAAGACAGGCTTGTGATCCTTACGGCTACAGGCTACACCCTGTCAACAACGCATGGTCATAAACTGCCGGCTATCGCGCGAAGATTGTGCGGCATTGGTGCGATAGACTCCTCGCGGCTTCCACTGTCGCATTACTCCACAGGTAACTTCACACGCGACACGCTTTGAACCAGCGATCCGGCTCGGGGACAATGGCAAGAGCCACTAATGCCGCCTGAGTGCCATGTCCCATCTAGTCTCGGGCCAAGTACGTAGGTGGTCGCGTTTACTCCACCCCGCAACAGGAAGTGATTCAGCAGCACCCAGTTCCGCCATCAGTGACTTCATTTCCCTCGACCAAGTGAACTTTTGCGCACCTCGAGCCTTGCGCCACCCAACATCTGGCAAATAGAGCAACATACACCTTTGTAAACAGTGAGTCGGCTGCATAGCAAGCACACAGTATTATTTTTATTCTTTGATCAACAGTACCTGGTAGTTACATGCGCACATCGTTGCGAACACGTTTGTGTCACCCAACACTATCAACACCCTGTAGGCAACGATGGTCAAAGATTTAAAGGCACATCAGATGCCCGGACAGAAAACACCAAGTCTCTCCCATAAGGTGGGACGACCGTCACTATGACCTGTTGCACATAACCTTTTATTTTTACTTAACTAATGCCTTTTAACTCATCGCTTTACTGATTTCTCCGCCCATCGCTGTTTCCCCGCAGGCGTACGACGCTGGGCTACTCGGGAAGAACGCCTGTGATTCAGGCTACGACTTCGATGTATACATACATCGTGGCGCCGGCGCCTACATTTGTGGTGAAGAAACGGCACTTATCGAGTCAATCGAGGGAAAACAAGTGCGTTTTGTGTTATTTTCCCCTCTCCCACCTAGGTAAGTATGTGTTGTATTATTCACAACCGCATGCGGGGCGTGTTTTGTTGCTCTCAAGGTGATATCGTCCCTTGTTGCCTGTTTCGGGTGCCGTGGATGGACTTCTACATGTCAAACTTGGCTTTTTTTACACCCCTGTGGTAATCTCTGTATATGAGTGGTTCCGATTGAAGTAATTGGATATGGAGTTTAATTCCATGTGTTATTCGTTTCGTTGTGCTAGTCCGTGGATATCCTAACTGTGCGCTATTTTTGGCGATCGGGAACCCTACAATGCTCAAATCACCAGTTATGCGACATTGTTACTTGCTGATTTCCATCACCTCTTCGTTATATTCCAAAGTTTTGTCCTCAGTTGACCATAGAAGGTCAGTTTGATTTCACGGTTCTTCCATTCCTTCAGGGAAAGCCACGTCTCAAACCACCTTTCCCTGCAGATATCGGGCTGTTTGGATGTCCGTCCACAGTGACGAATGTGGAAACGGTGGCAGTCTCTCCGACCATTTGCCGTCGGGGTGGTACATGGTTCGCTGGATTTGGACGTGAGCGCAACCACGGCACCAAGTTGTTCAATATATCAGGTGATTTATGCACTCGATCGCAACAAGTTCCCTCGTAATGATCGATGGACTCTGACTTGCTTGTCTGACGCTTTTACGTCTGTTGGGATTTCGTGTAACCGGACGTGATTGGATGTCCAATTTACTCGTACGCTCATCTGCGATGCAACGCTTTCGAGATAGGCATTATAGTCGGGCCCTCCCTGATGTGCCGTGTTTGATCAATCGACTTGCATTTCCATTGTTTTCTTACGCTACTTCTTGGTGTTTTCTGTTCCACACCAGCCTGTTGATCAACTTTATTTTCTTAAATCAACTCCTGATTGTGTGTCCGGCTCATCTCCTCCTGGCGGAAATCTCCACCACTGTTCTGCTCGCTAAACAATTGGGGAAATTACCATCCAGTTTCCGGCGGGTCGTACGACCTGGCAGTACCTTCTATGGTCTTTACGGACAACTTCATGCCATTTTCCGAACTGAAAACGTGATTACACATTTCGCTGTGGTCATTCTATCTATAAAATACTATATGGCTTACATCTCTCGCCGTATATAAATACATGGGTACCATCAGACATTGTGTCCCTCGACGAGAGCAATTTAGGAATCTCTTCATCCCAAGCAAGCAGACAACCAGCGTTTGTCACTGCTGCTTTGTCTGCCCTTACCTGTCTGGTTGTATGTGTGTGTGTTCTTCGTGTGGTGTAATTCGACCGACATTGATCGAGAACACATCCTGTCAAGCCAATATATTGTACGAATTTTGTGGTTCCTCCCGTTTTGATACATTTTTCATTAGCCAATCAGTTTTTATAAGTTCGTTGCATCATTATATAGGCTTGATGTGGTATATCGAAAGAAATTTGCACAATTGCGAACATTTGAGGTAATTAAGCGCAGTTATTGCAATTGCTTTCATTAGCACCTGTGCGAATGAACGGTTATCTCATCAATGCAGTATCTTTAAAGTTCATGGGGCCACATTTATACTTCTGTGCGATATCTATGAAGGTGGCAGTTGAGGGGGTTCATTGATCATGGTTTCATAGGTACCTGCGATATTTCCAGCAACAATGGAAGAGGCGCAGATCGCCCGATTTTAAACACGTCACTTATCTGTCACTGCCCCCTCAGTTCTAACACTCGGCTGTCGGGGACAAAGGAAAGTTATAACTCATGAAAGCTTACGTGTACAGCAAATACCGGCCGATGGCTGTATGGTTCAAGCGTTTGGATTGTAATCTAAAAGTCGCTGGTTCCATCCTGTGCGAGTACGGACAACTTCGAGGTATCCGCTTCTCGCATGCAACTTCTTGCGCTTGCATGATGGTGAACCTTCAACATGGCGTATTGGCCTTTTGCTTCTACCTGTCCTCTACTTGCTGCTTGCCCCATGGCAAGTACCGACGGTGAAATTCCTGCCGCAAAATATGTGTGTACTGTTGTTGTAACGCTACCCTTTTGCCTCGGTTCCCTGCGCCGCTAATCCAGTCGGGGAAAAACGGAAGACCGAGACTGCTAAATCGAAGTGTATTAAGTACAGGACACGGTTACTTTTTTAGGTCACATCTCATCATCTCCGGATGCAGGTTTTTGAGCTGACTCAGGGCACTTGTCTAGGCAGATTCAAACCTGCTACCGGTCAGCACTGGCCAGCTATAGTCGCACTCACTCACGCCTGTCGCGTAGCAACGTGAGTCATGATGACGGACCAGTTTCATCAGCTTTCCGCATGACTTGCTGCAGGCCCACTTCACGTCTCGATACATTGTCGCGTTCTTTTGTTGCGGCTGTATTCGTTTCTGAAAGTGAATAACATGCCAGAAATATCAACTAAAAGCAGCGAACACGTTTGTAGATCCAGCAATAAACGTGAGATGTAATAAAAGGTCAAGGTGTGTTAAACAGCACACGCTGTTCTTTACGTTTGCTTATGTACACGAAGCCTCTACTCGTGCGTGATCGAGTAGCATGTGGATAAAATCAACAGAGAAAACGCATTCAGTGGACTTGATCCATCATTCTCTTTCTAGACATGAAGATAACCATATTGGCACGGTCGAGGAACAATGGAGTTTCTGACGCCTATTGAACACGGTTTTTGACTCAGTAGCTTTCGCTCACTGTGTTGGTGTGAATGATTCAATTTGGGCGTTGCCATTTTATGAACCATAAGAGACAATTTCGGCTTGCGTACACCGTGCATGTGCTAACCCGTCTTCTATCGTTCTCATGTGGAGTCAAAGCCGGTTTATGCACATTTGTGTGTAAGTTATCCGCATTTTGGACTATCGACAATACAATGGAATCACCAAAAAAGGGAAGATGGAATGACCGAACGAATAGGCATGGTTGTAACCCGATTAGACCAACGGTCGCGCATTACACTGATGACTCGTTGCTCCAGCAGGTAGGTTTATATTGTCGTCCAAGAATGAATGCTAGTTCATATCTGAACAACAATCATTCGCGTCGGCCGGTGGCCGAATGATCTACACGCCTGACTTGCAATCATGAGGTCACTGGTTCGAATCCGCGTAGGGGTGGGCGTCCCCGCGGTATACAGTCCGCACGCGACTGATGATGGTCACACGGCAGCGAAGCACCGATGCGGCATATAGCTGACGCTATTATTATTATTATTATTATTATTATTATTATTAGCAATCATTTGTCGTCATACATGCTGCTCAGCGGGCCATCAGCCATTATCTCACACGCTAGATTTCCAGCTCTGAATCGACGGATGTGCACCAAGCCACCATTCGCACCGTGTGTTCTTTCATAACACGTGTGAGCATGTTGCGTATCCTCTACTCGAACGCCTCAGCTTTCATCACGGTCTACGGCGAATTCTCGGATGGTGTTTTGACAGCAACAGTTTCGGCGACCTGATTCTATTTGTGTTGTTCTACTTTGAACTGCTACATGGGTTGCCATCTCACTCTGTCTCGCGATGCAGTTATTGAGAATGTGCCGGTTGAAGCCTGTTTGAGCATTGCTCGTGTCGAATGACAACGGTGAGTCCCCAGAGACAAGACACACATGGGTACTTTGTAGCGATGCTCAATTGACTTCGTTAGATCAACAATTAGATCGTGTTATCATAACCTTATTTGTTGATGATTTGCTGATTTGTTTGCGGTCAACAATCTGAGTTTGGACAACGAGTTGCTTTGGATTACACCGAGACCATGTCAGCTACAAATAAATGCTAGGAATTGTCCACTCAACACACTACACCCCACAACCAATTTCATGTTTGTCTGCAATCTTCTTAAGGGAACTCAACTGCGACCGGAATAAGGGGCTTAGTGACTGCAGGTAGAGAGATGCATTTGCTACCACATCACCGAGCTGCGCGACTATCGCCTACTGCAACAGTCGGTGGCCTAACTGAATGAGATTAACTCCATGCTAGATCGCAGTTCATGCATACTCAGAAACAAGCCGACTTTAAACCCCTTACCGTTTGTTGTGGATCTCGGTGGTGTAAACATGAAGTCTTCTACGGGTGATCTCTACGTCCTGATTCCAAGTTTCAGTCCGTCTGCATTGCGTCCTCAAACACATAATCGATTGTATCGAGAATGAGTAATGTCTAAAACTTAATCAACTACTTTACTCTGAGCGTGTGTTGTGCGTCTATATCCATCGCTTTCCGATCAATCCTCTTCTCTATCCGATGTCTGATGGCACAGGGCCAGAATGGTGCAACCGTTTATTTGATAGCGGAGCTGAACCCTAGCCTGATTTCACCGGAACTTCAGTTTCATGCGCGCCTTCAACAGTGCTCGGCCACTGATCCCAAGCACGTCTCCTCGTATCACAATCTTCTCCATTGTGGATGTGCGTCTTCAGTTTCTTATTAACTGAAGAAACCTACATACATGAAAAGCGGTTCAATTCAAATAAAATCCGTACACCATCATCATCATCATCATCATACACGTTAGCTAGAGGTGGGGAACACCTCAGCTACTCTGCCGCAATACATAGAAAAAAGAAAAAAAATGCAATTGGTGCAAGCCAGCTGAGCTACCGGTAACGGATGGGCATCGTTCCGGTAAGCTACCAGCCGGCTACTGTGCATCAAAAAATTACTATGCAAAATTATATAAGGCTAAATAATGAGATCGTGGTTGGAGGGGTAGGCTAAGAGGGATGGGGTGGGTCAAAGAAACTCACATCACGAACGCCACTGAGTTCGGCTCCTAGCCATATCAGCAAGTGTGTCCAACCAAACGTGTTCATCGTCTTTCGGACCCCAACCAGGGAGCCGAGACGTTCCAACCGAGGCCAGCTCAGAAGTGAGGGCCTTCGTCCCTCTGGATCAAGTCATCGCTTGGCCACTCCTCCTCTTCTTCTATCCACACCGCCGGCGCGCAAACAACGCACGTCGCAGGAGTCGGTGGGCTAGCATGCGTAACACGTGGCCGAGCCATCGGAGCCTGGCGCGTGAAATGACGGTGCTGAACGGTTCACTTCCTTTTACTGTGCCGTAAACAAGGCGTCGAACACGCTCGTTGCTCACGCGGTGTTCCCAATAGATGTGAGCTAAATTACGAAGGCACCGGTGGTCGAACGTAACTAGCCTCTTGAGGTCCGCTGCTTTAAGCGGCCAGGTTAAGTGGATCAAGACCCCGCGATTCCTTTCCCCGATGCCACCATAATAATATGGCAATTATAGAGCAATAGATCGGAAATCAGCGGATGATTAAAAGGGCTCTACTAACTATGTGATTATCTCGTATCCTAAAGCGCACCTAACTACCGGTATGGCTGATTCCGTGGCCCATTTCAGGAAGGGGACAAGCCCCAATCCTATAGCCTTTCTATGATTTTCTTCATGTTCTTTTGCCATGTCATTAACCGGCCAATTGGGGGTTTCATCTGAATTAGTGAAAGCGATACACGCCGCGATAACTGATTCGCGAGCCTGCAGATCAGCTGGCCGAGGCACCAGAGGCGATTGGGAGTCAAAGACGCTCCAGCGCGATGCCATGAGGTTTTTTTTATCAAACATCAGATGACGAACACTGCGCAAGCATCGGTGGTCAATACGGCCAGTTTTCTAATGTCTTCAGCACTCAGTGGCTAAGTCTGATCCGCATAGTAACCCTGTACACACCGCCGCTTCGTAAACCCTTCGCTTGCTCAATAAGCGTTCTAACATCGTCGTTCTAACATGTGATGGAAGCTCCAAAAAATGTGTGTGATATTCTTTTAGCTAACGCAATCTGCAGTGTGATACAGCTACCAAAAATTAATTTAGACGTTCAACACTTTGGGCGGTTGCTCCAGGATTACGAAAACTGATTGCGTGTGGGCCCAGTCCTGTGCAAAACATGCCGAAGCGTTCAGCGGTACACGTCAGCCTGTTTGATAAGGCTCGCGTATGAACTTGTGGATTTCTGGTTAAGTTAGGTCGCTCAACAAACTTATATTGCACACCGATTCCTTTCCTATCGGCTGTGATAGGCGTATTTGTCTCCATCTGTTTATCGTCCTTTGGCCCGATACCACCGTGAGAGTTGGACCTATCGGGCCCACTCTTACTTAACGAATTTTGCCTATTGATAAAGGGCCCTTCGTATTGATCGAATACTAAATCATTTACTGTTAAGTATAACGTTCCTAGCATCTCAATCTTACACTTTCGGACTTTTCGGTCTAACCTCTTGTTACACACTTTCAAATATTCTTTATGAAGTTGCTATTGCTGTCATGCGCTGGACATTATGTTCGTTAGTCCATCGGCGTCCTTATGTTTGATTTTGACCTATGTGATTCCGTTACACATTTGTTCTGCTCAGGTCACGTGAACAATCCCTGCACAGTCGAGGAGGAAATGTCGATCCCTCTGCGTGATCTGATTGAACGGCACGCTGGTGGCGTGATTGGCGGATGGGATAACCTTTTGGCCGTGATACCCGGTGGCAGTTCTGTTCCACTCATCCCGAAAAGGTGGGTAGGTTGGTCTTTTATAATATTGATGCGCTGCTGTAAAGCGCTTGCATAAGTAAGAAGAAAGTAAGAAGAAGAAGTTTGAACAGTTAATGCCGCTTCACGTTTAATAACCTTTCTCGCTCCCAGCTCGCATTCGTGTTTGCTTACGGATTCATCCCTCTAGTGTTTGTGATACGGTCCTCATGGATTTCGACGCGCTTGTGGAAGCCAAAAGCGGTTTGGGCACAGCAGCCGTAATTGTAATGAATCGCTCCGCTGATGTTGTCCGTTGCATCCATCGTCTCATACGATTCTACGAGCATGAAAGTTGTGGTCAGTGCACCCCCTGTCGAGAGGGTTGTCGATGGATGGGTCAAATTTTGGGTCGTTTCGGTGAGAGTGTAATTGTCTACTGTGTTTTGTAATGATGATCGTGAATTATTTTTCCCAACGCCTCATTGCAGCGCTTTCTTGATGAAATATTTAACTATGTGTATTGTGTCAAGTAAATTGTCACCCTCACCTACATGCTTAGGTGAATTCACTTTTCAACGCAATCGCTCGACCGTGTGGTCTAGAACGAGGTCGATAAGTATACATTATGCAACCTATCCATGCCGATAATACAAGTCTTAAATTTTAGGAACGTTACTTTACCCACTCTATGGATTTGTGAGTGCTTTCTCCACGCCAGCGAATTCAGTTAAGAAACTTCTGTTAGCATTTCTCTTCACATCTTTTCATACAACAAGAAGAAACCACATTTTGATAGAATATACTGGATACAGCAATTTCGCATATTCTCCTCAACTGTTTACATACTAGTGGAATAGAGGTTGCATACCAGAAACAGTCAAAATGCAATTTCATATTACCCGTGAGTAGGAGGATTTCATCGGCGAAATGTAAAGCGGCCAAAGGCTATTGAGGTCACGTGACCCAGTTCGAGGAAAAAAATGTGACCAGTAACCTCACTAGGGAAGAGCGAGACTGGTCATGTCATCCGTTTGTTTTCACAGACTTGGTTTCAACCACCGAGTCGCCGAGGCCTCAGCAAACAGAAGTAGGTGGAGATTACTTATTTTTGCTAATTATCTTGGAACCTGTACCGAGGGCAATCAAGTGTATGGCGGGCAATAGAGCTAGCGGGTAGCTTTCGGCCACTTGCGACCACGTTTGTTCTACTAATCGTATGTAAACAGCTGAGGAGAATACGCGTAATTGCTGAATTCAGTAGCTTTTGTTAAAGTATAGTTTCTTCATGCTATATTAGAATTCACTTAATCTGATTAAGCTTTCCAGCGTCGTCAGTTGGCCTGTAGCTGCCATCCAATCTTCGCTTGTAGCGAGGCGACAATACAGTTAGCAGCCTACAAACACGAGTGTTACAGGCAGAATAAAAAAGTTCATAAACGCACTACTCAATGTAGCCGGTTTATTCTTTCGAATCGGATATTTTTTTGCTTGTCCTTAGATGCTCAAAGTGAGCAAGTATATATGCCCTGATGTCTGCTTCATGTCTCATCCAATGTACTCATTCATATTTGGTGTGTTCCTGCTGACAACGCAGACGACACGATATTCCTGTTAGGGATTACCACGCCACCAGACTCCCCAACTCAGCAGCGAAGATTTTGGCAACAGATTTCAATATTAACCAGAGAGATACGCAGTGTTTATCGCAGTAATGGCTGTGCTTATTATTTAATCGATCACCTGACCTTAGTTTTTTGCCTGACACTAAGAATATGCTTAAGTCTGCCATTCACTCTCATTACTTGCTTTGAAATGTCGTTTGTTTTCATTGGTGGAATAGGATGACCATACGTCTACTGGCTAGCCGATTTCGAGCGCTGTTAATCATAGGTCGCAGCCACGGAATGTGTTCTGCATATTACCATGCCACCCTCATATGAAGACCCACTCCTGCGCCTTATGGACAAGCAAAGTACTCCCGGTACTGACGGAAATCCTAACCTCGTGAAAAAAGGAATTTTGGATGAGAGAATAGCAGCAGATTTTCTACTGTGGAACAGGTGTGCCTACCATATTCTTACCACGCGATGAGTGGTAGAGCTATGAGGTACATTTCGTGGACAGTCTACAGCAGTGTTCTTTGAATTCGGGGCGTGTTCGACTGAATTGTGCACTCCGTTTTCCTCGATCTGCTTCGTCAGAAACTTGATTTCATTGAGGATTTGCACGTTTCATGCAACTCCACATCTACGCCGAATTTCCAGCCTCGTTTCCGTCAATTTCGCCATAGCTATCTCATCTTTTCGTTTTTCTTCAGTGGTAACACGACTACCATCATCGAGTGTGACCTTGAGGAATCTCTCCACCCAGGCATTTACCTGCTTTCCTGGTGGAATCTGGTTGATCTGCATTATGTGGGTCAACAACCATGACACGGCATGCTCAGCCGGCGTAATCTCATCATTTTTAATGTAATTTGCGCATTCTAAATACAAAATGCCGCTCCAGATTAAACAGCGATATCCTACTCTTGATCTTCGCGATGAAGCACTAAAAGTAGTTGCTGAAGTTCTTTTTCTTCATAGCCGCAGGAATGACAAAGGGGACAACTGTCATACTGCATTCGCGTATTGTGAAAACTAGAACTACCTTCATGAATCCGCGGTATATTCAGTACCAGAACGTCTTGTTTACAGGATCACTTGGAGAAAAGTTCTGGTTCACCGTAATGCGACATGGCCGCTCCGGTCTGCCTTCAGACATTCAGCTAACGTTGTCCATGGATCATCGCTTATGTCAGTCGGCACCGGCGGGTATATAACGAACAGGCTCGTTGACGTAGTGACTGGCGATGATCAGGTTTGTTCGTCGAATTAGCAAAGATGCCTAACTTGTTTGCACTATTTGGGGTACGTGTTACGTATGTAAGCCCACAGTTTGCTAAAAAAAATCCATTCTGTTTACACTATTTTGGCTGACATTGGATATGAAGTAACTAGTCGTTGGCCAGGTAGTAAGTTTATGAACTTGAACACAGACCTCTGTTAAGAAGTACTGTCTTAGTTGTACATCTGTCGGACACCGGACTTCAGATCGATTTAGAGATCATTAGGAGTGGCTAGCGAGCGAAGCCCCAGCGCTTAATTGCCGAAGCGATGGAAATTGCCAAGGCCACTGACTGTGTGAGTAGTATGAAGCGTGGAACTCTCGATTGCGTTGGATCAATCTTAATCCGGCCAGTCTGACGAGCGTCAGTACGTGGACCAAAGTTGGATAGCAGAGACCGAAATCATGATAATCGTACCAAGATAGTGGTTGGCAACGCGGCAAACGGTGAAATCCCTTTACTACTCCAATACTCAGGGCCACTTGAGATGGCTTTTCCACCTGTCCCGATTGTTCGCAAATCTCTCCGAAACCATGACTTCTCGATCGGTTCCAAGTGTTCGAGGGTTTATCACTGGTTTACTGGGCGCTGTTAGTCCACCTCACTCATCAGACTGCTCAGGCGTAAACAGTGGCACGAAGAGACTGCAGTGAACATTTCATCGCATTCTCACACTGTACAACCTCCATCATCTGGAGTCCCGACTTCACACTTAGGAGACTTCACATATTATACACACCAACGATAAGTCGTCAATCGCAACTAGTCAGAACCTTAGCGTGATGCGATGGTTTGCGTATCCCCGGGGCCTATTGAGTTATGCTGGGTGGCACTTTCCAAGTGTCTTCAGGGTCACTCATACCTGACAGATCAATGGTTGTGAGTCAGACTAAAGCAGCCTCACGATCCAGTCTTCCTCGAACGTTAGAGAGAGGTCGATGTCCCACTTTCTTTAAAACTTAATCATGGGAGACAACAGGTCTACGGGTTATAAGCTCATAGGTCGATTGCCGTAGAACACGAGCGCCATACATTGTCTCTGACGGTGGGAGGGCACCTTCCGGTGTTCAATGGTTTACTACTGCCCGCCAGTCAGGTCTTGGTCAAATTGGTGCAAACCCGCCAAATCCCTCCTGCGTCTGGCCTTGGTCGCAAATGCTTAACGGAATACGGCAGTACAACACGTGTGCACTGTTCTAAATCTTCAAAGACAGTGTGACAGACCTGAAGCAGATCCCAATGGGTCTGCAATCACACTCCTGATCTGGACTTACTCCCCACTACCTTGTGGATCACGCTATTGAGCCAAAGGCCCTGGGTGGAGTCCCTCAAGCATACCTCCATAACCCCCACTGCTTTGTGGGTCAGTCTGTTGAGCTAATGGCTAGAGGTCGGGCGCCTTGAACAAAATGCTCCTCTCGGAACATTAGTTTACTTGCATCGAATTTGATCAGGCGCTGGTGCATGCGACGATTTGCATGCCTTTCGGTGGCTTCTTAAGGTAAAGCAAACTCGAGTAAACCATGGGAAGTTAGAATACCCCGCCGTGCAAATGGAGTATCAACGGAAGTTTCATAAGAATCTCACTTTTCCCTCTCCTCGGGACGTCGACCAGCATTGGTTACGCTTGCAACAGGTTATATTCCTTGAAACTTTATGGAGCTGCGGTTTTGCTCGTTGTACAGCTAGGAGTTGGATCTCGGCAACGTCCTCGTAAGGGCTTGGCCGTCGACAAACTGTACCCATCGGTATAATTCACGATGAACTCCGTCGATCGAGTTCTACGACTGAAAGCAAGTATTCGCCGCGACTATGAATCCTGGTAATTCAAACGAGCCACGGAGATGGATGTTGCTGTCTCTGCTGGTAACCGGCACATATTGTTTTATTTCAACAACTACCGGATGCAATTCAAATTCAATCAGTTTGCAATTCTGCGAATTAGACGGTACAAAGACAAACAATCTCCACGAGCGTCTGGATCGCTGGGTGAAGTACTTTGCTCATTAAATAAATTACCAAACACAACGCGCGGTAGTATATCCATTGTCATCATTATTATCTCGTCTATGTGCACCGATCCTCCCATTGTAGCAGATTCTGAGAGAAATCCGGACTGTGAAACGCGACAAATCTCCCGACCCTAGCAGTTTTCCTCCGGCCTTATTCGAAGATGGAGGAAACGTGGTCCTCAACGAAATCCTGTCGTTGTTCACTAAGGTATGGACTGATTTCATGGGTCGCATCTGTCGTGGTCCTGATTGACAGGAAATGCCCTGGTAGCGAATTAATCAGCTACCGATGAGTCTCACTTATCTCTGTCGCCTCCAAGGTTTGTATATCCATCTTGCTTCGTAGGCTTTCAGTTACCTGGGAGAGTTTGTCTCGCGAGGAACAGGCTGGCTTTCGTGCGGCCAGAAGTTCTATCGACCATATCTTCACATTGCATCAAATCCTCGAACGTCATCACTTCCATCGAAAACCAACAATTGTGATGTTCTTGGACATCCTCTCTATGGAACTGACTACT